CCTTCTGAGCTGCGCTCACCCAGTGACCAGGATTCAATTTCTGGGATGATGGGGGTTTCTTGCACCCTGCCGGGAGGTGAAAACTCCTCAGAGGCCTCCCTGGTCCAGGATATCTGGGAACCCTCTTCTTTCTGCTGCAGTCAGCACTCTCCCCGCTGGAGGGTCCAGGAAGGCAGGTGGTCTGCTGCTTCTTGGCTAAGTGAGGACACAGCCCCCTGTGGCCAGGCTGCGAGCCCTGGGTCCTGGGAGTCAGCCTTCCCAGTTGTGCCTCTTGGCAGTCTCCTCTGAACCTCTGCTTCTGCCCAAAGACACTCTGAAGATTCAGGGAGGGACGCCAGTACTCCCAGAACTTCCTCCTGCCTGGGGGAAATGAGAATGGCTGCTCTGTCCTCATGCCTTTTGCAGCAGGCATGGGGAGGGGAAATGCTAAAAATCGGCTGGCTGGTTTTCACTGACTCTTCTTACTCCAGCGTTCCTGAGGCTGTGGCCCCTGCAAGGAGAAAGGGCCCCAGACAGGAGGATGGATGTACCTCCCTCACCAAGGCACTGCTGGGGCTTGGTGGGCTGTTTCCTCAAAGGCTCAGCTGCAGGTTCCTGAAATGTAGCACCCACAGCTCAGAGAGCACGTTAGAGGGGAGCCCTGTACCCTGTTGTAGGAGTTGGAGGAGGAGCACAGGGAGGATTCCACGGGGTCTGTATCTAAGCACTCTGGTCCCTCATTCATTCAGTTAGCCAATAAATACTTGTTTTTTCTTTTTTGAGACAGAGTCCTACTCTGTTCCCCAGGCTGGAGTGCAGTGGCACAGTCTTGGCTCACTGCAACCTCTGCCTCCCGGGCTCGAGCGATTCTCCTGCCTCAGCCTCCCAAGTAGCTGGAATTATAGGTGAGCACCACCACACCCAGCTAATTTTTGTATTTTTTGTAGAGACAGGGTTTCACCATGTTGCCCAGGCTTGGCTCTAACTGCTGGCCTCCAGTGATCCGCCCACCTTGGCTTCCCAAAGTGCTGGAAATACAGGCATGAGCCACTGTACATGACCCAAACTCTGTTTTTCAAAGAGTTTGCAGCGCAGTGGGGAGACAGTAATACACAGGCAATTAACTAATGCTGTGATAAATGCTGCAACCCAGAAGAGGAAACACTATCTATTTAGTCATGCCAAACTTATTTTGTACCTACTATGTGCCAGGTACTGTTCTATGTGCTGGAGACGTAGCAGTGAGCCAAAAAATTTTAGAAACCTCCCAGTTAATTTCAAACTCGCTCCCAAGTGATGCCACTTAGGATCCCAAGTGTCTTTGGGCCACATTCTGAGCCGCAAAGTATCTGGGAACCTGAAGGGGTTTTAAAGTTTGTCTGCAAGGTGTGTTAAATCCTGGAATTAGATCAGATTTAGTTTACTTTTTTTTTTTTTAAGTGGATTTTATGTGGCTACGAAGAGTCATAGAAAAAACTCTGTCCTCAGGTTCTGGAATTAGACCTCACTTTGAGTCTATTTAATCTGAGAACAGAGATGTGGTGGTGGCTTGTGTTCCCGTTTGATCACAGGGGTTCCCTGGATCACGGGGTGGAGGTGGGGCTCAGGAAAGCTTTATGGGGGCAGCATCAGGAGCCTGGCTGTGAAGGAAGTGCAGAATCCGGCCAGGAGAAAGGCTGGGGGACAAGGTGGTGAGGACATGAGGTGGCAGGCTCAGGTGTGGACTGCAGTATGAACGATGATGGTGGAGAGAGAGCCCAGGATGGTCTCGCTGGATAACAACAGTGTTAGAAAAAAACCTCAGCAGGGACGTGGCCTCTGCGTCTTAAGGCAGTTTACCCATTCCAAGGGGATATTGAATATTTTGTGAGCTGGAAGGTGAGCCCTGCGGCAGACTGCTTAGATCAAGTCCAAGGATGGGGCAGAAGCCTCTGGGATGTGGGCAGCGGGGTACATGGCAAGAGGGTGGCAAGTTGGGGTTCAAATCCCAGCTCAGCCCCTGCTGCCTGGGTGATCCAGGCAAGTTGCAGAATCTGTTTCATGGGGCTCCTGTGAGGGTCAGGAGAACCTGCGGGAACAGAGTAGCACCTTGTACGCGCTCTGCAAGTGGAGTGGACATTCCTGCATGCTCTGTTCCAGCTGGCTCTGGGCCAGCAGTAGCGAACTCAGCATCCCCTGGGAGCTTGTTAGACACGCACACTGTCCAGCTGCACCCCATACCGACTGAATCAGAATCCTGGGGTGTGGGGTCTGAATCTAGTTAAATGCTGACAGCTGCCTGTTAATTGGAGCTTCCATTGGGGGAACTGCCAGGGGCAGGGGAGAAGGGATGCTTAAAAAAACAAAGAGGCTGGGCACGGTGGCTCACGCCTGTAATCCCGGCGTTTTGGGAGGCCAAGGGGGGCAGATCACGTGATATCAGGTGTTTGAGACCAGCCTGGCCAACATGGTGAAACTCCGTCTCTACCAAAAATACAAAAATTAGCCAGGTGTGGTGGCATGTGCCTGTAATCCCTGCTACTTGGGAGGCTGAGGCAGGAAAATTGCTTGAACCCAGAGGCAGAGGTTGCAGTGAGCCAAGATCATGCCACTGCACTCCAGCCTGGGCAACACAGTGAGACCCTTTCTCAAAAAACAAAAAACAAGCAAACAAATAAAACAAGAAGAAAATAAACCCTCCTACTCTTTTGGAGATTATAGTTTAGTGCTGTGGATACACATAATGGGAGTAACTCAAATTGAGGGGTGCATCCAACTAGGTCTTTCAATAGAAGGAATTTAATGCAGGGAATTGGTTTCTCAAGTCATGAAAGTGCTGAGGAGCCAAAAAAAGGATACTGCTGCAGACCTGAAATTAGCAGCCATGGAAAGCTGCTGCCACCCCTAAAGGCTGGCAGGATAACTGGAAGGGATATTTTTACCAAAATCGCAAGTCAGGATCATCCAGTAGATACTAGAGCCATGGCAGAGCTTGCCGGTAGGAGATAGGACCGTGTGCAGAGGGCCCGTCCAGAGGGAGCTGGAGCTACAGGGGAGCTGCTGTGAGAGGCAGGATGAGAAGTGCACTGGCTTCCAACCTCTTTCTGTCTGGCATAGGCAGAATTATGGCCCTCATGATTTCTCATCCTAATCCATGGAGCTGTGGGTATGATGAGACACCATGTCTGTGGCTATGTTAACGTCTGTGACAAAAGATACTTTGCACATATAATTATGGTTGCTAATCAGTTGGTTTTAGGATAGAAAGATTATGCTGGAATATGCAACTGTGCACAGTTTAAACACATGAGCCCTTAAAAGCAGAGAACTTTCTCTGGCTAGAAGCAGAAGATAGATATGGGAAAAGGAGAAGTCAGAGAGATTCCAAGTGTTTGACAGGTTTGATGCCCTGTTGCTGGCTCTGAGATGCAGTGGTCACATGGAAGGACAGAAGAGAGGCCTCTAGGAATTAAGGGCTGAATTCTGCCAACAAGAATGAGATTGGCAGCAGATCCTTCCCTAGAGCCTCCAGAAAGAAACACAGCCAGCTGGGCATGGTGGCTCACGCCTGTAATCCCAGCACTTTGGGAGACTGAGGTGGGTGGATCACCTGAGGTCAGAAGTTCCACACCAGCCTGGCCA